GCTAGTTCCGTTCTCGAATATTCAGATACCGCCACGTGGACCTTAATTCGGACACCTGCTGCTTCCTTAATAAAAATAAGCGTTGATTAATTTGAATTAATTTTTTTAAATAAAATTTGAAATTCAAAACAATTAATAAAAAGATATTTTATCATAAAATAAGGTTGAAATATTTTATTACATGGATATATGAATGCAATATTTATTAAAATTGTTTTCAAAAAAAAAAAAATTAAAATTTCATTTTATTTATTATTTTTTAATATTTTATATTTATTTCAGAGTTAACCAGTAAAATCTCGTAAAAACTTTATCATGGGTAAAGAAAAGATTCATATTAACATTGTCGTTATTGGACACGTCGATTCTGGCAAGTCTACTACCACTGGTCATTTGATCTACAAATGTGGTGGTATTGATAAACGTACCATTGAAAAATTCGAAAAGGAAGCCCAGGAAGTAAGTAATTCTTCCAATAATATATATATTTTAAAAAAAATATAGGATGTTATTTTTATTATAATTTTTTCATTGTCATTGATAATTTTATTTTTCTTGGTGCATATAGTGATGATTATATTTTTTTTCTGAAACAATTAAGGATTTTATATATGACAAATTTTTAATAAAATGAAATTAATTTTTAGATGGGCAAAGGATCCTTCAAATATGCCTGGGTATTGGATAAGCTAAAAGCTGAACGCGAACGTGGTATTACAATTGATATTGCCTTGTGGAAATTCGAAACGTCAAAATACTATGTTACTATTATTGATGCTCCTGGGCATAGAGATTTCATCAAAAACATGATTACTGGTACCTCTCAGGCTGATTGTGCTGTATTGATTGTTGCTGCTGGTACTGGAGAGTTTGAAGCAGGCATTTCAAAGAATGGACAAACTCGTGAGCATGCTTTGCTCGCTTTTACTCTTGGTGTAAAACAATTGATTGTTGGTGTTAACAAGATGGACTCCACTGAACCACCATATTCTGAAACCCGATTTGAAGAAATTAAAAAAGAAGTGTCATCTTACATTAAAAAAATTGGTTACAATCCAGCTGCAGTTGCATTTGTACCAATTTCTGGTTGGCATGGAGATAATATGTTGGAAGTTTCTTCAAAAATGCCTTGGTTTAAGGGATGGACTGTTGAGCGTAAAGAAGGAAAAGTTGAAGGAAAATGTCTTATTGAAGCGCTTGATGCCATTCTTCCACCTACTAGACCTACAGACAAGGCTCTCCGTCTTCCTCTTCAGGTAGATTTCTAAGTAAAATATAAAAGTAATCAGATTTATTTGTTTTTTATGATGATATCATTATTTGCTCATTCGCGGTTTCCACCGGAGAATTTTATTATTTGGTGATGGTTAGAGATGTCTGATTAAAATAAAATTTTTTAAAATTATATTTGTATTAAAAAATTGGCAATAATAACATTATAAATATGATTGCAGGACGTATATAAAATTGGTGGTATTGGAACAGTACCAGTCGGTCGTGTTGAAACTGGTGTGTTGAAACCAGGTATGGTTGTCACATTTGCCCCTGCCGGTTTGACTACTGAAGTCAAATCTGTTGAAATGCATCACGAAGCTTTACAAGAGGCTGTTCCTGGTGATAATGTTGGTTTTAACGTCAAGAACGTATCTGTCAAAGAATTACGTCGTGGTTATGTTGCTGGTGATTCAAAGAACAATCCACCCAAAGGTGCTGCTGATTTTACTGCACAGGTATGTATATTATGAAATGATAAAAGGATTAAATATACAATAATTTTGCAAATTTAGTAAAATATTATTTATTAATTCGCACAATGATGAGAATTTCTAAACATCATTCGCGGTTTCCACCGGAAGATCCTTAGGATCTATTGATGGTTGATGGCGTCTGAGTGCTATTTTAAATAATTTTAATATAAATTAAATAGATAAAAATATACAAGATTCATATTTATCTAATTTTTTTAAATGTTATTTATATTTTTTACTTTTATTTTAGGTCATTGTGTTGAATCACCCTGGTCAAATCAGCAATGGTTATACACCAGTATTGGATTGTCATACTGCACATATTGCATGTAAGTTCGCTGATATCAAAGAGAAGTGCGATCGTCGTAATGGAAAAACTACTGAAGAGAATCCGAAAAGCATCAAATCTGGAGATGCTGCCATCGTTATGCTTGTGCCAAGCAAGCCTATGTGCGTTGAAGCTTTCCAAGAATTCCCACCTTTGGGGCGTTTCGCTGTTCGTGACATGCGTCAAACGGTAGCTGTTGGTGTTATCAAAGCCGTCACTTTCAAGGACGCTGCTGGCAAGGTCACCAAGGCTGCCGAGAAGGCCCAGAAAAAGAATAACTAGTTTCCGTACATGTGTATCGCCAGATGGGCTTCGGCGTATAGTAGCTGAAGTAGTTTACCTTCTTTCTTCACGTTTCTCGCACGAGAGCAGCGCTACATTATTGCCATTGGAGACTGAAATATTTTCAACGAAATCGCGACTAATGATTAAGAGTAATAAAGTCGGTAAAGAATCGCGACGACTGGCATTTATTGTGCATGTAATTGCACGTTCGCCATATTTTTTTGATATTCGTATATTCCATTTATCAAAATGGTTACTCCGTCACTTTTCTCACCGTAAAGAATTTCGTAGGAAAGGTAAGAATGATCGACAATGGTATATAAGCAATGCTTTTCTCGCCTGCGAGTTCCATGAGAAAAGAAAGTGAACTATGGAAAGCTACTTGTAATATCTTTCACATAAAAACATCAAAAACATAATTTAGCTCGGCTTAATTATATTTTCTAATTATTATACGGAATAAATCTTATATCTGCGATATTCGAAAAACATTCATTATTATTTTTTTGCCGTCATTATTAATTAATCATCGCCATCCTTATTGTAAAATGCTTCATATTTCCGATTATTTGTAAAAAATTAATTGAAGAATATTAACAATTTTTTAAATTTTTAACTATGAGTTGGATACATCAATGTAAAAAAAAAAAAAGATTGAATAGCAGAAAAAGAAAAAGTAGTAGTTCCAATACGAATTTGGTTGGGAAAAAATGGGACCTGTTTTTTTATTACTTTCCAATTACCTGACTAGGTGAGGAATTGAACTGCTATACTATATACACATTTTTCTACGATATATGTCTTTACAAAGATTTACCTTATCTTTTTACACATTCTATGTTAAAAAAAGTATGTGCGGAAATATGATCTGCAATGGTTCAACACTTTTTATCCGCGATTTTCCGATTGAAATTGGTTAACAACGGTTTTCTGTACATACATATAAATAACAATAATAAAAAATAAAGGAGCTACGGAAACATTATATTGTGTCATATTATTATAGAATCCTTTATTCTTAGAAATATATATTATAATTAACTATTAAAAGAAAAAGTTAAAATTATAAAATACTATTATATGTAAAAATTTATATAATTAATAAAAAAAATTTTTTTGAAATTAAAAATAGCTGTATTTGTACAAAATATAATTAACAATAATATCGTATAATTATTTTTATAATAAGTGGTAAATTTTCTATTTTTTAATATCTATAAATACTTTATTTTTCTTTTCATAATTTTGAAAAATACAATAAAATATAAATAAATATAAAATTATAATAAACACGTCCTCATATATGCAATATATGTACATACACAATATATAAATATGTTTTCTAGTACGTGAATTTTATGAACAGCTGTTGAACCAAATATGGCTGCTGTAAGGAATGGTTTGTTAATATGTTCAAATTTTCTTTCAAGTAATGCAAATTTTATAGCCTATAATGTAAGTAAAAATAAATTTTTAATCATTTTATTATAATGATATTTTTTCTTCTTATATATAAAAATTAAATTCTCATATAATTTATTTTTGTTACATTCTTCATTTAGTTTCAACAAATACGTAATAACAATATTGGTCGCTGGATGATTCGTGATAATAAACGAAGAAAATTAATAGAAAAATATGCACCTGAACGATTACGATTAGTAGCTATGAAAAGGAATGATATTTTACCACCTGAATTACGGGTATATTATATATAATTTATATAACCTTAAAAATATATAATAGTTTAAAAATATATCAAGAAATTTATTTTATAATATTTAAATAACATTATTTAAATAGCAATTTTAATTTATTTATTCTATTTTCAGGAAGTTGTTAGTAAAGAAATAAATGAAAAAATTCCTCGTCAAACTGCTTTAAGACAAATAACATCACGTTGCATATTAACTTCTCGTCCACGTGGTAATGTTCTGAGATGGAGAATATCACGAATTATGTTTCGACATTTGGCTGATTATAATAAACTATCTGGTGTACAACGTGCAATTTGGTAGAAAAATAAAACTTTATTTCAATACGTTGTTCACAAACTAATTATGAAATAAATACAAAATATTTTAATTATAGTAAGATAAAAGATTATTAAATAAATATAACGATTAGTAAAAAGAACATAGAAAAGTTTTATTGAAGTATTTATATTATGTATATATTATTATCTTATTAAAAAATAAAATTTTTCATAAATTAACAAATAGTATTTAAAGAAAAATGTTTTTAAAAATTATTTGCTTAATAAATAAGATAATAAACAAATTAAATATATTACATCTATTATTTTCTAATTCTAGACATAATGAAAAATAGATCATTAATTATTTATTTATTTGTATTAAAAAATTAATAATAAAGATAAAGATTAAATTACATTTTAATTATATACAATTTTGTATATAAATTTTAACATTATAGACAAATTTGTAAGTACATAATAATAAATTATAAAGAAAATATATTTTTTTTTATTTTATTAAAATTATACAAAAATAAAAAATATCAAAAATTTGACAATTAAATAAAAATGGCATCTATTTATAGGAATATTTTTCTTTTATAATTAAATGAAGTCAAAGAAAAATAAATATTTTAGTATAAACTTAAAATTTTATATATATAAAATGGATAAGAGATAATATTACATAATTCATGTTTAAATTCATAATTATTTTTCACTGTTTAGCTTACTAAGCAAGCGTGTAAAATTAGTAGTATAAACGTTTATCTGATCAGGCATGTATGGCGCAGGTCCGAGTTTATAGTTCAGTTCTTCTGAATCAAGAAACTTTTCACGCGGTAGTATACATTGACATACTCGAGCAGAGGATTCTTTTTTAATCTTGTTAAAATTTGATTTGTTGCATTCGATATCATTATTTATCATAAACCATATTCTTCAGAACATCAAAAATATCAGAATCATGAATGGCCGATTCATGCACGCATATATAGTAAGTATTTGAAATAAAATTTTCTAAAATTAAATTTGAATTTTTAAGAATAATTTTTCTTTAAATACGAAAAAAATATTTCTTTAATATTATTTTAAAACATAATTTTTTATTACATTTCAATATTATTCTAAAAAAAAAGCTATAATAAAACTGTATTCACAAAATAAAGATAAAGTATGAAGGAAGGACATGATATGTTAATAATTTTTTGTACGTGGAATATTTTCAGAAATTTCAAAGTTTTTATGTTTTGTTTAAATGACATGCTATATTTTCTTATTCTTATAGTGCAAAATTAAAATTTCGGATGACTTCAACAATGCAAGGTCATTTAATTATAAGTAAAAAAGTAAAATAGTAAAACAAGTATTACGTCACAATGTATAGAGCACAAACTTGACTACACAATGACTTTTTGTTCCATATCTTTTGATTATTATTGGCTTTTCTGATACAGAATATCTTTTACTGTTTCCTAAAAAAATGCTTCAATAAGTCACTGTCTGAAGAATCATATTAATAAAAAAAATTTCAAATTCTTTAATAATATCAATTATCAATTGTATTCGATACTTGTTTTAAAAAAAAAAGACGAAAATTTTATTAAATAAAATTAAAAAATATATAAATGTATAATACCATTTTGCAGTTTAGTGGTTAATCTTTTATAATATTTTCTTTGGTTTCTCGCCAAATACGTTTCATGTTTTTAAGTATGCGAATTTCTGTTCTGATCAAGAGTTTTACGATTGAAGTGGATACATTGTTCCTATGTATATTTTTAAAATTAAAGTCGATGGTTATACATCGAATCAATTCATCCAAGTGTATTCCATAATTTTATCTCGATAATATATTTCAAAATCATGAATTTTACAAATAATTTTTTACACATGGCTTTGAATTATAATATATAAAAATATATTTAAAGTAATTATAATCAATCTCATGTATGAATACATTTGTATTTCGAAATTTTTATCAATATAAGTTTAATATCACTCTTTTATTGAACTTATTCAATAAATGATATCAGTTATCTATTATCCTCAACAGTTTATTAACTAGCAAGAATGCATCCTTTATCATCTCGCCTAGTTTTGTTTTTGTTTTAATTTTATTGTATTTTTAATGTTTAAAATGTGATTAAAATATATAAAAAAATTAGCATTTTTATTTAAAAATTTGAACTTGTTACGATCGTTGTTACTTTTACATCATCGTTAATTCAATCTAATTGCATTCAAGAACATTGTTATTTAATTTTCTTTAAAAACACAATATAATGAAGTATATTTGAATGAAATATATCGTAAATCGAATCTTGGCTATCTTCCAATAATTCTTCTTTAAAAAGAGGGAATATAATGTAGAGGAGAAGAGAATATCGCAAATTAACAAGACTTTGCAGTGTCAACACTGTTACTTTGCATCCTAGATAAACACAAAGTCACCTCCTTCCTGGAATATGATGCATCATTGGGATCGGTTGTCTCAAAACATGCGTCATACCGTTAGAATGTCCACAATGGTAATTAATTGCACTACCACAGGTTCGTGACGATGCTACTTTCGCATAGACAAAAGTCTATTGAAATTTATCGCTTAATTTTACGTGGGATTTAACGTAATGCAACCTTTCCATGATTTCGAAAAATGAGACATTATTAGCTCGTGTTTCTGAAAAGAAGAAATATTCATCCAGGATATGATAAAACGTAAAATATTAGCTCGTATAATATTGTCAAGGATGCATGATATTAATGAAGATTAGTATTTTATTTAAAGGGAGATATTAAATAAAAAAGAAAAACAAATAGTTATCAATTTGCTTAGTAAAATTATAAGAAAAATATAATTAAGCAAATTTAGATGAGAAATGATGAAAAAGTAATATTATATCATGCAATGTATCAAGGAAAATGAAAGATCCAAATGGGAATACGCCCATGATTACGTCGTATCTATTTTATTTTCTCGTTATTGTTGCTCTTCTCGATGGGCGTGGAGGTTTCCTCGATTCTACATTAATAACATTCTGTTTTTTTTTCTTTTCTGAAATTAAATTAGCCACTTTCATCACTTTTTAATAACTCTTCACAGGATCATTGATGACGCATTTCAACGGGATCGTATTAGATGCACGATGTAATATTGCCGTAACCTAAACATGCATTCGGAGGATCAAATCCAACTTATGATGTTAAAAACGAAAGATGGTTTGGACGAAATGCCGAAAGGCATAGGCAGAGGTTCCAATTTGAAGATATGGTCCTCTGTCATATATCACAAGGATAACAATAATACCGAGGATACGATAAGCGCGAGTCGAGAAAACGATTTGTCCACCAAGCGATCTCGAGGCGAACGAAATTATTTCAGAGATAGCGAGGTGAGAATTTGTTCGTTAATTCGAAAAAGAAATGATTTTAAATAATATTATTCGCAAGTTTGTTCGTTTACTTATTTAGGCATTGGAGAATTTTCATTGTGCAATCGGCCCTGTTTTAAGAGCCGCTCAAATATTCGGCATGTTCCCAGTGTCCGGAGTTGGATCTTCGTCACTATCAAAACTTCAATTCAAAATATTTTCATTTCTCACTATCTACTCAGGTTTTATCGCCTTAACGGTTTCGTTTATGACGATTATATCGGTGATACACATGTTGAAAACTTTTAACGCCAGTACATTTCAGATTCGTGGTAAGTGAATAATTTACATCATACACGTGTTGCAATAAATATACACGATTCAGCGTTTGCCTTTTTAAAACTGATATAAGTCTAAGAAAAGAAATGAATTAAACTAGTTTTAGCTTAATGATTAATATCTTCGATTTGTTATTTCTAATATTAAAGTCTATATATATATATATATATACACAAGTTAATTTAAAAAATGTTGTAACATTCGTAAATTAGAGATTCTTTTGTTACTTTATTAACGAACTTAACAGAAAATACTGGCCAATCACAGAGTACGTAACCTAGTCGAATTGCGACAGTAATGTTGGCTACCTGTTGCCGACCGAACATGAACAAATCCAAACAACGTATCGAAAAAAGTGTGAAGTTTGTGAAAACTCCAGTTTACGGATGTTCCAACATTTTTGAGACGTTCTGTGAAATTTCTGTTTCATCATATTTTTCATCAAAATAGATTGTTATAGAGTTCTAGATATCAGAGTGTTGCGCTATTGATAAAATGATAAAATATTTTTTCTTTATTAATTCTAAATTACGAAACATGCACATAAAACGTGTATATAAAATAATATTGACTTTTGGATCTGAAATCGATGACAATTGCATGAGATATTACGTTAAAACGTGATATCCTTGTTTTTTTTGCCCGATGGATTAACGCGATAAAAACGAAAGAGGATAACCTATCACGTTTCATCCCAGGTGGTTTAGGTGCAGCGACAGTCGGTGCAGTGTTCTATGGGAACAGTCTGGTGGGCAGCATCTTATTTTTCTCATTATCGTCACGCTGGATATCTCTTCAGTACGAATGGAGAGCCATGGAACGATATATAGACAGGTCGATATCGCGTTCGCATGTGCAAAAGCTTGCCACTATTCGTGAGTTTGCTAATCGCGTTGTTTGCCGCTTATCTGCCGCACACGCGAGCTTTAGATACCCATTAATCGTCCAGGAAACTACGATAATTAGTTTATTTTAGCGTGCAAATGCGATACCGTGAGATTTCCAGATAATCCTATCCTTGATTGCAAGTTTTTTTCTTTGAATAGAGAGAAATATTCTTTTCTTTTTAAATGCTTATTTATTATTTTGTCTAGGCAGAAAAAGAAATTTATTCATTCAAATTTCTCAAAAATAAATGTTAAAATATAAAATAAACGTTTCATTCGTCTTCCTGATCCTCAGCAATTCGACAGAACCCACACGGCTTCGATGGAAATTTTTTATTATAAGCACCGTGGTGCTGGTTTTGTCTCTTATAGAACATGTTCTAAGTATATTTAACAATATCGATGGTTACGAGTGGAACGAATCAAATTCGACGTTTCGCAATTTCTTGGAGATATACACATTACGATCTCATTCGTTCATTTTCGACACATGTGAGTCACTTTATTTAATAAGAAAATGAAATCAAATTATCAAATGTTGCCATTTAATCAGAGACATATTTGTTTTCAGTGAATTACAACTTTTTTTACGGTTTGTATATCTTTGTCGTTAGCAAGCTAGCGACTTTCACGTGGAACTTTACAGATTTATTCATCATGCTTGTAAGTCGAATAATCGAATAATTTTCTCATAATTATGCATTTTACAATTTATTATACAAAAAGTAATTTAAATAATTATATTTACGTTGATAATATATTCTTCAATTAATTAATTCATTGATCATTCATTTCTGTGAATTTTCAGGTTGCTACTGGTTTGGCTGAAAGATATAAATCTTTAAACAAGAAATTAGCAATTACAATGACGAAATGTCAAACGGCATTTAATTGGCGCGAACTTCGGGAGGATTATGCGATATTGAGTTGTATTGTGAAAAAAGTAGACGATCACATTTCTCCAATAATCCTTTTATCTTTTGCAAACAATGTGTACTTCATTTGTCTTCAATTATTAAACGGCCTATCGTATGTATATTACACAAAAATACACATAATATTAAATTGGCGTTTATAATTGATTTTGTTTCCTAAATTTGAATCTACTTGAATCATTCATTAAATTTGATCTTAGAATGCAAACTGGAAAAAAAAATTTTTTTTGTAAAGATAAAAAATATTTTAAGAACGAATTAAAGAATTGCTAGAAAATTATTTTACCTTCTTACATGCGATTTATTCAAATCGAATCGATTGTGCATTAAGTTTTATTCTATTTTTGTTTCAAAGCATATCAGATAAAAACAGTGTATTGAGCGAAGCTTACTTCTTTGGCTCCTTCGCTTTCCTTATCTGTCGCACGTGCGCTGTCACCTTACTTACTGCTAGAATACATGATCAGAGCAAGCAAGCGTTACCTTATCTGTATAATTGTTCGACATCTAGTTATGGCGTCGAGGTAAATGTACATTCATATCTGTATATATTGTTTTTTTTTTTTTTTTTTTTTGAAAAAAGAATACATCGCAAGAAAGAATATATGTAATAAAAATTAAAATTTTTGAAAAAGAAATCGAACTATTATATAAACGGTTAATTTAACAAATATTTTGTTGTAACGAACTATAAAATTCTATTTCTCTATTCACAGGCTCAGAGATTACAATATCAACTCGCGACAGACGATATAGCCTTAACAGGATTACGTTTCTTCTCTATCACAAGAAATTTTATGCTTGCGGTAAATTAATTATTTATATTTGATTATAATGTGTTTTTGATATAAAATATTTAAATTGAAAAAATATAATTATTTGCAGGTGGCTGGAGCAATCATAACATATGAAGTAGTACTTTTACAATTTAATGGTAAATAAGAAAAAATTAAAATTTATTATACCTACTATTACTCTATTTGTAAATATATTTTTGATAATATTATTGCTATAATTTATGTAATTAATATTTTGCCCTCTATTAAAAAATATGAAAGAATACATTTCAATGGATTAAATTTGATTAATAAATTCTAATGATTTTTAAATTTTCATTGTATTTAATTTTTATTAGTTTTCCTATATTTTAATTTTTTAAAATATGTTATCTAATTATAATTGTATTATTAGTCGTGTATCGATATGTTGTACAAGATTATCATCCTTGCAAAATTGAGAATGAGAATATCTATATTTTTTATATCTATATTTTTATAAAACATATTGTAATTTTGAAAAAAAAATGATGGAAGTGTGTTGATATCCCGTATCTTGTTTGAGTTGCATTTTAAATGCATTTTAAACAAGGAGAGTAAATAGTAAGAGAAAGATAGAGATAGCATAAAAATATTGAAATCAGCAACACATTCAAAGTATCGCATAAAAATCATAAAAGACAGAAAATAGTGAAAAAAGGATAGATATAATAAAAAATGACCACTAGTGGCATCTTTTGAGTGTTATATTTCTTTAAAGTTAGAATAAAATAAAAATAAAAATTGAGAATGAACGCCATCTCATGACTACTTTTAAAAATACGATTTTGGTACTATGATAAGTTAGGCAACGATCGAAAAATTTTAAGATTAGCACCATCTCGCGTTTGGATATTCGAAACTACGATTTGTTATTAGTATAACAGAATAAGTAAGAAGGTATTCGAATTCGTGTGATATCACATAAAAGAAGAGTAATATTATAAGAGAAGGTTAAAAGATACTATCAAAAAATTATTAATTTTTTACTAAAAATTTTCGCACTTTATTCTTGTCGCACAATATCTCTTTCTTTTTTCATTATCCGAATTAGAATACCTCTTTGCACATTCTATTATGCTAATAACAAATCGAAGTTTCGGAAATACAAACGCGAGATGGCGCTGACCAAAATTTTTCGATCTAACTTATCGATGAAATATATTTCGTTATCAATTTAGGATAGAATTAAAAGAAATGCAAATAAATATAGATAAGGAAAGCAAATAATGATTTAGTTAATCTATTTATTAGACGTTTATACAAAAAACAGCTCTAATGTTTGATTAACTTTACTATCTTATTGATTAAGATCTTAACAAATGTTATGATTATTTTAATTGAAGTTTTATATATCTGATATATATATTTACATTTTTATATTTTGTGGAATAAATATTTTATATATACATTTATAAATTTTTATATATAAAATTTTTTAAATATCACAATGAATTTAAATGAAAATCTACATTTTTATATTTTATATCTATATTTTTATCATTATTTAAATAATATTGTAAAATTTTATTTTGCAATTCCAAAGAAATCTTCATCAATTTCGATTTTTTGAAATAATTGAATCATTAACAAAAAATTTAATCTAAGAAATGATTACATAAAATACAATTATTTTAATCATTAATTTTCTGTTATCTTTACGGATTATTCTTCAAGATTGAAACACAAGTTCGTTTAATATTACAATTAAAATTAAAATTTAAATTCACACAAGTCGTGTATTTTCTTTAGTGAAATGTTGTTCAAATTTTATACGATTTATCAAATATGTTTATTTTCAATTATTAAAGAGCTTTTCATCGCTTTAATTAATCTCTTAGAAAAAAAACAAAAAAACTATGGTTATTTTCAAAATTGTGAAACTTATTAATTTCATTTAATTAGAATAAATAGAAATTTTATTGATAAAATATTATATAATTGTTCAATTGTTAATAAAATTAATATTAGAAAAATATTAGAAATTAAATTATATTAAATTTGTTAACAAAAATGAAATGGAATATTCAAGATAATAAAAATTATTTGTGATTCATTAGTGAAAAATTACACGAAAGATTACATGAAATAATGATTTTAAGAGGAAAATAGATACAAAAAAAAAAAAAAAAAATAATACAGTGAATCCCCAAGGAAAAATAATTTAAGGAAAAATATCTGTTAAAAAAGACAAGTTAATTGAACTCTTCAGCTTACGATTTACAGATAAACAAAATGAATATTTCCTCTTGAAATTCCCAATCTGTAATCAATGTAACGTGACGCATATTATCTTTGTCTAGCGACGTGTGCGAAATCAGTCATGATTATATATGTATGCTTGTTCAAAATTATTTTCATCCAAGTATCTCCTCTCATTTAACGATGGAATAGTGAAGAGACTTGATCTTTCCAAGCGTTTCCATTATTTAATAAATTTCAATATTTTTTTTTTTCCTCTTCTCTTCTCTAATTAAGTGTTTATACATTGAAATTTTGTTTTTATAAATAAAAAAAAAAATGAACGAATTAGCGAAATATTCGTTGAAAGAAGTTGCGACACGAGATGGAAAAGAAGAAACGAGAGTGTGGATCGTTATTTACGATATGGTTTACGATGTGACGGATTATAAGGATAAGGTAACAGTAGAAGAAATATAGGATAATAACATAGAATAAATTTAAGTTAAAATTAATATCATTAAATTAAAGATGAAATAACTAATATATGTGCATATATGTGTACATATACAGTGGGTTAAAATTAATGCGTTGAAATTAATTTTAGCATCCTGGTGGTCCAGAATTAATCGAGGAATATGCAGGACAAGATGCAACACGTGGATTTGACGAGTTTGGTCACAGTGCAGATGCAAAACGTATATTGAAGAAGTATCTTGTGGGTGAATTAGTGGAGGTAATAGCTACAACATGCTTTTATTATTTACATTATATGCTGTTATTATTTCTATTTACATTATTATTTCTTAATTAAATATATATATATATATATATATATAACTATAAATAATTATAATCTTGTAATAAATATTGTTTCAAATTATAGGAAGACAAAATAAGGAATAGGAGAAAAAAGAATGGAATTTCTATTAATATAGAGGAAAAAAGTAGAAGAAGAAGGTATGATAAATTCTGTTTGAAATTTAAATCTTTAATTTATTTTATAAATTTTAACTAAAATATTCAATAATTATACTTTTAACTTTTCGTTATACTTGAAACTTTTTTAAAGAAACGATTCAAGTTATCAAAAGAGTTATCTCGTAATTAGCGTTAATTTGTATTTTTATCTTTGAAGTAAAAAATTGTTGAATAGGCTGAAAATTAAAAAAGATCGTAAAAAGAAAGGGAAAAATTAAGAAAGAAAAAGAAAAATAATGTTTATCAATAACTTACACGTTAACAAAGAATTATCTATGTATGATACGAAAATTTATTTGCAGGTTTCTATCAATATTATGTGGCAAATGTGCAACCTGACAAAGGAACGATTTTAAGTTAACAAATTATGTGTGTAAATAATATATTAATTTATTTTATTTTATTTTATATTATCCGTATACACAGATATAGAGCTAATTAGAAAGTTTAATGTAAAATAAGAATAATTATTTTTATTATCACGTATAAGTTTATTTTTTTAAAAAATCGCGTCTTAAAACTTTTATTTTATATAGAAATCGGAAATACTCATGAAACGTTGGCCGCGTTCCTAAATGTATACGAATAAAAAATATGAATCAAGCAATGAATCTTCACGAATGAATGTCCATTTGTTCTTAAACTGCCTTATTAATTCTTTTTTTTTTTTTACGTTAATTTTTGATATCGATTAAAATTTATAACAAACGAAACAATATTAAAAAAAAAAGAAAGAAAATAAAGAAGATAAAATCATTCATCACATAAAGATAGAAAATCGAAAACAAACGATCAATCTCTTTCAACAAATTAATTAATCGTGAATAATTAAATTAATTATATCTTATTATATGTAATTATTAAACAAAATTTCTTTCGAAAAGAAAGATAGATATGAAAGTAAATAAATCGAAAAAAAATCAAGAAATCTCTTTCCATTCAATTATGTTTCGTGAAAATTATAATCACAGTTGTATATTATAATCAAATTAATTATACTAATACAATTTTCGATATAATTTGTTCAATTCTGCCTGGTGAATGAAATCGAACAATCATCACACGTTGAAAAGTGCAATAACAAAGAAGAAGAAAATTTAAATCCATCCACCCATTATTTGACCGGTCGCTTTTGATTTTCCTCTCAATTTTGTCGTGGCTACCGGTTCTTGCGGTTCGTTTTTCGGTGGCTCGCTTTTTGCTTCTTTTTTCTTCTTCTCTTCTTCCTTCTTCTTCTCCTCTTCTTCCTTCTTCTTCTTCTCCTCTTCTTCCTTCTTCTTCTTCTTCTCCTCTTCTTCCTTCTTCTTCTTCTCCTCTTCCTCCTTCTTTTTCTTATCCACGTCCTCTTTCGCGCTCTTATCTTCCTCCTTGCTTAACGATGGTTTTGGATGTACCGCTTTTTTCGCCGGCGTAGTTTTATCCTCTTCTCTCGGATCCTCCGGAATCGGTGACGGTGTCCTCATTTCCGCTGTGCCTCCTTTGTCTCCACCTTTCTCCATGCTAGTATTACTTATACTCTTTAATAATGTTTTCTTCAACAATGGCTTCGTGCCAATTTCATTGGATATTCGAACAGATTTTTGAGATCCTTCTTCATTTTCCTTCTTATTTTCTGAAAATAGAATACGTTAAATTAGGCAGACATATTTCAAGCAAATGTATATTTTCTTCGCCCACAATGGAAGCAATGGCAAGCGAAACGAATAGAATAACTAATTACTATTACTATTAAATACATAGAAGTAGGATTCTTATAAACTATGAGAAACAGATTTTTATCAATAATCAACACTCTGCTTATGGAATAATAAAGTTTACGCCAATATATGCTTTGAAGTTATAGTCACTGCATCTGTTTTGTTTCAATCACGCTCAATCACGTTCATATATATTCATTCGTATTCATGAAGTACAGATATCAGATATCAGTAGAACAGTAATACCTGTACTTTTCTGGATTCACCATCTTTTCATGGATGAACAATGCGATAAGGAGATTCATTCAGTTCATCATTTTCGATAAAGATATACAAATGTATATGGCAAATATGTCAGAAGTTACAAAGATATACCTTCTCCCTGATCTCCTCCCGCCGGTTTCGGCCGGCGCATCATGAATTTCGCGTAAGCGATCCTCGTGGTCGGTGACACTTCCATCAAATTTGGATTATAATCGACCAACCGATTAGGATCCAACGAGGTTAGATCCGAGTTCGGTTGATGGCCAAGTCTGCGTATACTTCGCCTTGTTGTTTTTCAATTGCCTCGTTCGAGCTGCCAATAGGATCCTTGGCGATCGTGTTCTGCCGTACCACGGCGTTCCAATCTTTCTTCTTGCTTCCGCTGCTCTTGCGGCCGATCGCCTTCGCGATTTGACTGAACACGTCCTTCGGCTCTTTCTCGCTCTGGATCACCGCGTTCACTATACCCTCCACTATACCGATCTGGAAGTCCTTCTGGAGTCGGCGTTCCATCACACGACCCTTCTTCCCGGATACTAGAGTAACAAAAAGTATTCTTGTGTTTAACAATTTCTTTTTTCCTTATTTCTAATTATTAAAGTATCATTAAAGTATCCTTTTCACAATGATTGTTGTAAAAGTTTAAAGTTGGTGATTAACTTATTTTCCTTTAGATCAAAGAATTTCTTTAAATTTGGATAATGAAGTGAAAGTATAATTTCTCGTATTTTGAATTTTTGATGATGTCATGTATTTTGCAACATCTCTTGTATTTTTTTCTTTCTTGTTATTTATTCCCTAAGAAGAATGCAATGATGCAATTCATTTTCGCGATAAATTATTCATACAGAAGCTTCATATAGAATTATATCTAACGCAAGATATAAAATGATAAAAATTAACGTAAAACACAGTTCATGATACACGTTAAATTATTTACAGATTTTTGATTAGATAATTAAAAAATAGTCGATCGGCACGTTTCATGATAAGTTCGGATAACAAATTAAAAATAAATCATTCAGAGTTTAAGTGGTTCTTGTGAAATATTTATTTGTAATATAAATAATATGACAGAAAATAATCGTATTGATTCATTCTCGCACATCGCTACTTTTTAATTAAAAATCTTCCTTCTTATCGCTGTAATTAATATAAAATCAATAACTTTTTTAATACGTGTGCTGATATCCGATAGCAAATTTCTCACTTGTACTCGACACGCATTACATAAAATAAATAAAAAGACGCGAGTCATTTGTTACATAGCACGTGTGATATCGAATAATTGAAATTTTACTTGATCCCTTCTTGTGAATTTTTTTATGAATTTAACGCAATAATGAAACCAATATGGCGGAGATAATTCGTAAACTTACTCGCGGCATCCTGTTTCTCGAGCATAGGTGTCCTCATCCCATTTTGTCGAAGAATATCAATCAACTCGTATCGCAACGTGGAAATATCCTGCCTGATTTCCATCACATCGTCCTCGGTGATACCAAACTGATCTCGTTTCCTTTGCTCCGCGGTCACGTATCGTCTGATCAGTAATCGCATAACCGTATCGTGTCTCGCCTTTGCCTTCTCTCTTGATTTTTTCTGTAAATTACATTAATTATTATAAATCGAGGATATTTGAAATTTCTATCGGTTGTTTTCACACTCTCACTTTAACCACATCCTTTTTTTTCTCTTCATTCGACTCTGAAAGTGATTCTATCCAGCAATAATAATACAAATTAGAGATGTTTAATTATATATTTACTTGATTTATTACCGAAAGCATCGAATAACTGTAATTAACTGTAACGTCAGAGGTTATACAAAGAAGAGCAAGTAAGTAAAATAGCTACGAATTATTTGATCATCTTTAATAATGTTAATATAACTCTATTCGAAATTTTAACTAATTCATTTTTTTTCAGGTTATCTAAATCTGATATAAATAAATAATCTATTCTACTCACATAGCGTGACGATAAAAATACATACGATCAGAGATCTAGTTTGACGACCAGCCTTGCCACAGGACAAAATTTTGTTGAACGTTTTGGAAGTTGGGATCATGTTGAATGGGGGAGGTACGGTGTCGCCATCTTCGAAGTAACTCATCCACAAGTGGCTCCTGGCGAATTTCCATTCCGTATCGGATCTTTCCTATTCGTATTCGCATTGTATCAACAAATTCATTAATTGTTTCGCTATTGAAGAAAATTCATGAATGAAAATATATTTTACTAGTTTATCGTACCGAGATTATTTGATAGGAGTTGGACATCATAGCGATAAGCATGTTTAGTAAGACGATCACGTTTATCACGGAATAAGAACCAAACATAAGCAACGCCCAGAATCTGGTGAAACTTTTTATTCCAGTTAGATCAAACGACATTAGATCAACCATACCGAAACTGGCCCAGAAAAGCGATTGTGATGTCTCGAACAAGCTAAAAGTTTATTATTTATAGAAAATTAATTTCCCAAATAATATTTTTCACCAGAGAGTACAATCGAACAATCGTTATATACTTGGCGAAACGTCTCCATATCGAGCAAGCTTTCTCCTGATTATCGAAGTCGGGCAGATCTGGAAAATCCTTTATGTTATAGCATTTTTGTTTCTCCAGATCCGCGTAGTACCACATCAGCTGATTCATTCCTGAATTATTATTAAGTTATTAGTATATTGCAAGAGAGGGAAAAAACGAGGAAATAAATATAAAAAATATATGGAATTTTTGGAGAAGAATAGAAACTAATTGAAACAATAATTGTTGAATCTTTACCAAATGTTGTCTTTAACAACTTGCTAAGTAAGAAGCTAAATAAATAAACGGCAGGGAATTACTCACCACATCCAAAGGCGAACAACACCAGTGTATAAATGAAGAAGAACTTGATAATGTCTATTATCATCCTCCCGAGGGAAATTTGGAGTGGCCCGAGATGGGGGTTCACGCTGAATATGTGAACTAACTTCAAAAAGCTAGAAAAAGAAAAAAAGCGGATATTTTCATCCCGAATGAATTAATTATTCAATATTTATTTTGTTACACGATTTGTTTAATTTTATTTATATTAGAAAGGAATGTAATTTTCTTTTGACGAATTTTCGTTTTTCAGAGTGAAATTTTTATGACGAATTATCGCGAACGAAGATATTTGGACAACTTTGCATTACCTGAAAATCATCCCAGCGGCGAAAGCTCCCTCGGAGAGAAGCATGGGATCGAAGGCGTGCCATTGGTCTCTGGGATACCAAGGATCCAACCCACTTTTATACTCCTTCTATCGGGTGAACGATCGAATCAAATGATTATTATCACGTTAAATTGAACGAAAGTTAGAAATTTAAGAAAAAGAAAAAGAAATGTATACTTGAACAATAATCCACGCAGTTATTCTCAACATAATCCAAATCACGTAAAACATATTCTGAACGAAATCCACTATATTCCAAAGATCCGATATATACTCCATCAATCCGTCCGACCATAATGATCTTATTTCTCCAAGGATCAAGCCTGAAAGATTTAAAAAAAATTTAAATTATATTATACAATGTGTGTGATTTATCTCGGAAAAAAATATAAATGATTCCAAATTTTTATTTGCAATTGAAAAGATTTATATAAGAGACTTGTTTAATAAATATTA